GATGGAAGATACAGATAAAGTTGATTTCTAGGGTACTGAAATTACTCCATAAATCCCATCTGTCAAAACTAACAGGATATAACATGGAGAGTGGACCCAAATATAAATTACAGACTCTGGGTGATAATGTGCCATTATACAAACGCACCACCATGTGAGGAAGGCTCTGAGAGTGTGGAGACATGGTGTGTTACTGGAACTCAGTTTGGCCCTGTGGTTGACTGTGGCTTTGGAACTCCTTTACATTCAGAATCAGGACATCGCTGGAGCTTGCTGCTCACTGTTCAGCACTCTGCCAGCTTTTGTTAATAATGTAACAACAGGACAGGCTAAACCAGAGCCTGACTCACAACAGGAATGAGAACAGGAGAGCCAGGAAGTTGGGATCAGTCCGGCAAGCACCCAAGCTCAGCACAGGAAACTGAGCAGAAATGCTTCAGCAGCTGCACTATGGCTGACCTGCAGACTGCAGTGATGAAGTAGCCCCGTTTTCTGTCTGGGACACTGTCACTCAGGACTGGATTACATATGGTGACTAACAAGTGTTTTACCTAGCTATCAAAGCTTATCAAAGTAAGACCCAGACAAAAGTGTACTTCAGTTATCTGCTTGTGTGAAAACCCCCTGTATCTGCACTGCTCTGATTCTCCAATAGTAATAGATGTGTCCTAGAAAAGATGAAAAGCTCTTAAAACTGCTGGAGTACAAAATTACCACAGCATCCCTTCAGTCACTCACTTAGTCTCAGATTACATTGCCAGAATCAACCACTGACATTACCTATCAATCGGTAAAAGAAAATTCCTTATTGCACATAAGACAGTGAAAAGAGAAGGAGTGAATGAAGGCCAGAACTTGTGACATGTTTAACACTTAAAGAGTCACACCCAGCAAGCTTGTAAAACTTGTCATAAACACAAGACGACCAGCCTCCCGCTCTTTGGCTGGGATTTTCATTTGTTTGCTTGTGTTCTGTTTTGTTTTCTCTACCCACTTCATTCAACCTGTCCAACAGACACATTTCCTATTAAGTAGAATGGTTTTCACAGTTTCCATGTGCAGAACACAGTGAAAAACACTTCCCAAGCCTGGAGCCTATACGTACGCTTTCTTTTAGATAAGTCTTCAGAATTCTGCAGTTCACCACCTTAGTGTTTCCGTCTTTAAATCTGTGACTGGTCTTGCACCCTGTGATTTGGTTCACTAAAGGACACTTGCTAAGCTACTTCAGACAGTCTAGGGATTTCCCTTTGGAAATGGTCTTCATACACTGACTCCTCCCTGCCCCCATGCTGCTGATCAGTGTGATCTGTTTTGGGTGCTGGGGATGGACCCAGGGTGTGGCCCACACTCAGCACCAGTCCACCTGAGTTCCTCCCAGCCCCAACCTGTATGGTACAATTTCTTCTGAACTCAAACTTGCAGATATGAAACTGCAAAGTGCAATTGGCTCTGAAGTGTTTATCTCACTTCCTCTTCACTCCAATGGTAAGGCAAGGTTAACTTTTCCTGTTTCTTATATATGGCTAGCAAGCATTCTTAAGATTCCTCAGAACAATTCTGTGGCCTTATCTGAGTTTTCAGGAAAACATAAAAAGATTAAAAATCAGCAGAAGCTTTGCTATAATCTACATTTTAAAAAAGAGATTAGAAACAGTTATTGGAAAACTATACCACATACCCAGCATGCTGCAAATTACCAGATTTCAATGGAGTTTTAGGAAAGAATTCTTTATTAGCAAACCGCTTAAGAGACAGATTTTTGTTGATACTGATTCTGTAATTCCATGAGCTGTATGTCATTATGGAAACAAAGGAATATGGAAGTGAAGATACAAAGGACAATTTCTACCTGTGAACCACAGTGATATACCAAAATGCACCTTTCTACCTTTCTGCACTGGGCTGTTGTCTGCACAGTGGTCACTGGGTCTCTCTCACACACACACACACACACACACACACACACACACACACACACTGACTATTTTACTTACTGGATTTTTCCTGTTTCATATAATTGGAAAATCATGATGAGGCAAAAATATATCAGCTAATCAATATACTCAAATAAGATCTGGAACTACTGACTGAAGGTGCATTAGAGCAAGGGAGCTGGATGTCTCTCTGACAGCCACATGACTTGAGCAAACAGAAACCAGTGAGCAGTTTGGGGCCAGATCCCAACTGTGCAAGCTCCTGTCAATAATTTACAAGTATTCTTGGGGGCTAGCCAGAGCTCTAAAATGAAGTCTGGAAACTAATGCCACACTGTAAGTAACACATGTGTTTTTCAGTGTGGCTCCTCCAGTGTCATGCACCTGCACACACATACACACCATGGCACCCATTTGGAAGTCAGGACAATCCATGGGAGTCACCGGCTCCCCGACCACCTATGTGACTGCTACAGAAGAAACTCAGGTTGTCAGGGTTCACAGCCACACCTTTCTCTGCTGAGCCATCCTACCAACCCACACACACATTTTTAAGATTGTAGGAAGGGGAAGAGAGTGGATGAAACGACTGGTCTGACCTGAAATGAATTCCAATGAATTTCAAACACACATCTTCACATGTCTTCTAGAGGCCTCCCAAATTGCCCCTGGAAGAAACAAACTTGGCCACTGAGCCATTAAGTTCCCCTGACCACTGAGTCAGCCAAGAAGACAGCACACAGATGCTAACTATGGCTGTCAGGATCAACCAAACAGACTAAAAAGCAGCTCAACACAGATGTGACCAATGTCAGATCAGTGGATAGGCAGAAGACAATGTTCAGTTGGCTCCTGATTGTGACAATCCCCCAGATATCAGAAACATTGGGATCAACTGAATCCAGCTAGATACTTCTAAATACACTGAACCATAAAAGTCATCACTACACAGAACTCAAATATGAAAGATAAACCTTCAAACCTTTCAGCACTGGGAATGAAATCTAAGTTATAATAAAGGGGGAAAACAGGTTGCAAAGTGTTCTATTATATTTAAAGTAGTATCTAGGTGAAAACTAATAAAATCATACCAAAACTGAAAATTTATTATAAGTTTGAACAGCACTGGCTTACACAAAGGTGGTTTTTGTTGTTGTTGTTGTTGGTTTTCTTTCTTTTTTTTTACAAGTTTTAAAGGAACTGGCATGATCCAAGTTATTATTTTATGGGGACAGTCACTCCAAGTAACAACTTAGGGATCTGGGATTCTACAAGAAAAGACAGAAGATGCTAATGCAGCAGCTTAGAGTTTTTAAATCGTTCTGAGCCTACCCCATAGCTTAACAGCAAGAGTGGGACTCAGAAAGCCACAGTCCCACCAGTGGCGACAGCTTCAGCTTCAGAGGCTTAGCTCTGACTATTCCCCCAGCACTCAACTCTTCTTTCTTGTTAAGAAGCATACAAGAGCACACACAAGAAAGTGACATGCTCACAGACATCTAATGGTCCACACCATTCATTACCTATTGCTTGGCAGACGGGCCCCTTCGGCTGGCTGAGCAGACAGCATGTGAGCCACACTTGTAAAATGCTGCTCCTATTCTCCAGGGAAGAGCTTGCATCTTGTAGGCCACTTACCATTTTATTAGGATGTACTAAGACAACGATTTCTGCATGACAGAAACTATATTCTAGTTGGGTGTGGTGGAACATCCAGTTTCACCTAGCCAGGGACATACAGCCAAGACCTGTCTCAAACATGTATCGATTACTTTTAGCTTAAACCAGTAAGTGTAACAGTTTATGTGGGATAAACAGTTTGTGAAACCTGATGATTTGGAGAAATTTTATTCTTTGTAAAGATTTTTTTTAATTGTTTTATTTTATGTGGGCCTGGGTGAACGTACGTGCACAGTGTTCATAGAGCGGCCTGAAGAGTGCAGAAGAGGACGGTGGGTCCTCTGGAACTGGAGGAAAGAGACAGTTGTGAGCCATCCTGTGGATGTGGGGGAACAAACCCAGTTCCTGTGAAAGAGCAGCCAGTACTATCAACTGCTGAGCCATCACTCCACCCCAAGAACTTTCCAATTAAAATTCCTAAGTCAAACTTTAGAAACTTACTTTTATACATTACTCACAAGAATTGGAGCTTCACCTTTGGCTGTCAATGTAAGAGTCTGGGATGAAATGCAATTTTCAAAGTTTGTACCCAGTGCTTTTCTTCCTTTTGTCTTTTTTGATACATAGTAAAATCTTACAAAGTGTTTCAATTAAGTTACACTGCTAGAGAAATTACTTCTTCCAAAGTCAGTAAAGGGGTTGGAGAGATGGCTCAGTGGTTAAGAGCACTGGTTGCCCTTCCAAAGCACCCAGGTTTAATTCCCAGCACCTACATGGTGGCTCACAATCATCTGTAAGTCTGGTTCCAGAGGATCTGATGTCCTTGTCTGGCCTCCGTGGGCACCATGCATGTAAGTGGTGCACAGACACACAGGCAGGCAAGACACACATACATATAAATAAAGTAAGTAAATAAAGGTAGATGAAGTAACCAGAAAGGATATAAGTAGAGCAGGACCAACTGTGTTCCTTATAAACTCACTACTAAAGTTAGTTGGTCATGACACATCCTTCTCATGAAAGGCATTAGTCAGAGTAAAACCAGGTTCTCCCTCAGCGCCCTGCCTCAGCACACACATACCTGGCCGACCACCAAGCAGAACTCCAGTCCTTGCTCTGTCCTCTGTGTGCTCTGGTACTCAGGGCTTTAACTCTGAGTGCAAGCAGTACACTCAGGGGTCCAGACAAGGCCACAAGCATTTCTTACAAGTTGGCTTCAGCAGAGGTAACAAAAACTTATAAGATGGTAACAGAGTCCTAACCACCAGGAGAATATCTGCACCCACATCTTTTCTGAGGAAAGGACTTGTTTCTACAAACCACCACCAACCACATTTCTGCTACATGCAGCATTCTTGAAAACACAATTCAAACCAATGAAACATCTTAGAGTCCAGTTGAAGTTAGTATTTCCCAGACTAAAACAGAACGAAACTTTCAAACCTGTGGTTGAGCATTTCGGGATTTGTGCCCCTTCCTCCTCTGGCACATTTTGGAATCTTCGCACATATGAGTGACTTGAAAATTCTCCCAGCACCAGAAGTGGCATCAGTCACACATCTGGCTGACTCCTGTTGGCCCGCTGGCCAGTTTGTAGCTTTTGCTGTACCACCACACATCTCCTGAGAGGTACAGACACTCTTCAGTTGATCCCGACCATCAGTGTGGCCTAGACCACTCTTGATGTTCCTTCGCTATCTGAGGGATATTCCACAGTGACTAGCAAAAGCTCCAGTGTAAAGATCATTTCATTCCCTGCATAGCACGTGAGACAAGCTACTCCTAACTTCCTCTTTTAGAAGCTTTTTTTTTTTTAAAAAAAAAAAAAAAGGTTCATTCATTATGTCAATGTAAGCCCAGAATGACTTCTGGAAACAGATGTATCCATTACATTATAAAACATGCTCTCAGTAAACCTATAATAAAGTAGACAAGCACAAATCTCTCCCTACTTTTCCTAAGCCTGTACTCTAGCGCTCACAACAGGTCCAGCAGCTTGCACTGACTCACGCCATCTGCATCCCGAGCAGAGTTTATACAGCCCTCCCTCTACAGTCATGAGACCAGCTCATGTGGCTCTGGGCAATCCTTGGGCTGCAAGGTTGCTCTGACATTGGCCACACCACTCTCTTAATGGTTCTCATGTGAGTAAGTGTCAGCTGACAATCCCTACTCCACAACCTTGCGAAATCAGCCATAGCCAGTGAGGGATGGGTGCCCACAAGATCCAAAATGCAGAACTTACTATGTGGAAGGAGACATGAATGGGATGAGATGCAGAGCAGGGCATATTCTTACCATCGTGTGAGGGGGTTGGGGGTGGGGGTAATGATAATGAGAGACCACTAATAAGAAAAGGCCTCCCAGCTCTTGCATTGAATTCCTGGGCACACTCAAGCTGAGAAAGCCCCAATTACCAATTCTAGCTTCGGACATCAACATGGCTATTCTGGATATGAGAATGTTATGAGGTAAACTGGAGTCTGTGGTCCACGGAGAAAATCTTTTCCTTCTAGAATAAAAACCACAGGTCCCCAAAACACAGGTCAAGTCTAGAAAACAATACAACTCTATAGGTGACACTAACTCCCTTTTCCTGAAATTTGGCTTAAGAGAATACTGCTGGGTCCATCCCTCAGGTCTGGGGCAGCCTTGGTTGGCTCTGTGGTCTTGGTCTTAAATGTGTCTTTATCCAGACAGTCACAGTTCACTAAAGTCAGAAAACAAATGCCAGGCACTGGTCTCAGTTGCCTTAAGACGATTTACATGCTGTGCATGAGACAGGACACCCTCCTAAAATGAACTAAAGAAAGAGTCCCCAGATAATCAAGATTATGACCTCCATGACAACAATTGTCTTCTCTGTGGCAATTGCTAAATTGATGGTATCAAGACAGGCCCAGATGAGGAGAAAATGAATTTGGTTCTCCAAGAACCAGCCTAAAGCTTTACTCCAGGCTCCACTCTGGTTACGGTTCTTTTTCCCTTTGAACTATCTAAAACAACATTCTCTTCCAACAGAGAGTATCCAAATAGTATTAAGATAGTTCCAGTTCAAGGGACAGAGCAGACTAGGAACACAAATGACCTACTAAGTACTAAGTATCTCTCAGTCATGCAATATTTAGACTAAACTTACTGGGGAAATGAAAAAACAGATGCAAGACTGATAGGAAAATGCTTTTCTACAAAGCAGAAGTGCTAGGGGGATGCAGTTCACTTTTTTTGTATAAAAGATCTTAGAGGGGCTGGGGCTAGAGAGATGGCTTAAAGGTTAAGAGCACTGGCTGCTCTTCCAGAGGTCCTGAGTCCAATTCCCAGTAACCACCTGGTGACTCACAACCATCTAGAAGGAGATCTGGTACCCTCTTCTGGTCAGAACACTGTATACATAATAAATAAATCTTAAAAATAAAGATTTTGCTGGGGGTGGGGGGTAGTGGAGGAGTGGGAGGTGTGATCTGGTAGAATATCTGTCTAGCAGGCCTGAGTCCTGACATTCACTCTCCAGCACCTCACAATCTGGAAGGGTAAACCACATCAAATCTCAGCACTTGGAAGAGTAGAGGCATTCTGAGACCAGCCTAAGAATCATGAGACCCTGTCTTAAAAAAATAAAAAATAAAAATCCTTAAAACTTCAACCTCACAGCTGATGTTTGTGGTGCACACCTTTAATCCCAGCACTAAGGAGGCAGAGGCAGGTGGATCTCTGAGTTCGTGGCCAGCCTGGTCTACAGAATGCGC